ATTAGAGAAGTAGGCATTGGGAGAGGCACTGGGGGACCAAGGGTTTGGGCTGGGGATGGTGGGGACCAGGTATTTGGGGAGGGGGTGCTGGGTGTTGCGGGGGCTGAGCGGCCATCTGCATCCCCTGGGCCAGAGGAGCAGCCCGGCCTCCCCTCTGAGGGGTGCCAGGAGCCCTTGGCGTTGCATGCCCTCCTCGTCTCTTGCCCAGGAACCATGTGCACGTCCAGGCTCTTCACCCTCGTCCTGGTGGTGCAGCCACCCCGCGTCCTCCTGGGCATGAAGAAACGCGGGTTTGGAGCCGGGCTATGGAACGGCTTTGGGGGGAAGGTGCAGCCAGGGGAGAGCATCGAGGAGGCTGCTCGGCCTCGCGCGGCTCGGCCGGCGCCCCAGGGAGAGGCGAGTATTGGGGCACAGGTTGGGCCATGGAGGTGTGAGACCAGTTGTGGTGGGCTGCAGGTGGAGTCACCACGGCTCAGCTTATCAATAACGCCCTCGTAACCAGCATGTAACCCACCAGTGCGGTTGTGAGCCTTCTCTGAACAGAGAAAATCACCTGCTCCACAGGTGATGAGGGATCATCCATGTGTACAAAGAAATGGGATTGCTTCCCGTTGCCTGTCACCTGCAAATCTTTAACTGTCGTGCAGCCTGTGAGTAAGTTAGTGACTATCCTCCCTCCCATCTCAGATTCTGATCTAAACTGAGACTTAGTTTGCTAGTGGTGGGCAGAGGTTCTTGCACTGTGCAGGAAGGTGCAGAGTTTAATTTTAGCTATGTAGCAGAATTACAACTGATGCCATTGTACTGCTTGTTGTTTAAATTTTGAAGCTATTGAACAGGTGCTACCTTCCAGTAGCATTTTTAGTACTGCATGAAAACGTAGTGACAAAATATTAGGAATTCTCAGAGGTCTCTTATGAAAGGTACTGTAGAAATTTATTATTTGACTGCATGGTGGCATTTTTAAGCCCTAATGCTGAGTTAGGGAATTGAATTCCATCAGTAATGAGGTACAGTAGCTTTTAGTACTGATTTATTGAAGTTTTTTTCTTCTTCCTCGTCACTAAAATGAAATAGCAGATCGCAGCTGAATTGCTAAACTCCTCTAAAAATTAGGTACCTCGTTCTTTACCTGAATGTTGCTGATACAAAGCCACACTTTGCCACCTCCTCACTTTCTGATATAGGCCCAAAATTGCCCTCGCACCTGCAGGAAGATCAGTGTTGGTGTGCTCAACAGCTCCCTAACCACTTTTGCCCTGAACCCTCTCCTCAGCTGTGCCAGCGCAACCGCCTGGGTTCTGTGGTGAGCTAACCCAGGGGACAGAAGAGTCCTCTACACAGATGTGCACCCAGCAGTGCACGGTGTTAACGTACCTGACACATCATGGCTTTTTGTGTAATTTATCGTCTCTGAGTGGAGGGAGGGAGATCAGTTTTGTTACTTAAATCAGGCCTTCATTTGCTAGGCTTACATTGTTACTGACTGTGGTGTAAATCTAATGATTTAATTTAGCATTTAATTTCCTAGGTGTGTGTTTATCTGTGCTAGCCTGGAGTTAGAAACCGGAGTTTTATCCATACGAGATGTCAAGTGATGAAAGTCTCATCGATTTCAGTGCAACATGCCACAACACAGCCAGCACCTGCTGCTCTCTGCTGTGGAACAGTCCAATCCTCATCCCTTTCGACATAGCTGCAGGAGTTTATTGCAGAATGACACAACCAATTCCATCTGAGGTCAACTGAGCAGGAAGCAGTCCCCGGAGCCAGGGCCAGCTAGGCACACAGCCCACTGTCCTGGTGGGAACACCACCGTTGCAGCACTGCCTCGGGGTGCAGCTCTCCTCCAGGAAGCATAACACAGTCTGTATCAAATTTAACTTGCACCACCTCGGCTCCGTCTTCGGAGCTGAGGTATTATGCTGTGGTTCCGTGTTGCACTGTCTCGGTTGCGTTTGCAGAGGCACAAGGCATGAAGTGTCCTCACAGCACAGATAGTTAAATATTAGGCTAAAACATGAACAAAAGTGTCCTGCATCAGTAAGATTTCTATACTCCACTGAGTATGCCACATTCCCATGAGCACTGGGGCACCCACAGGTCCTCAGTGGCACATCTTGTAAGGGGAGCATTTCGCTAGTTCATTATTTCTAGTTTGCTACCTGTAATCTTTCCACTTAATATATAGAGCAAAACAGGTGACAGATAAATTGCTTGGAGAACCATAGCACTGCTGTGCTTTATTGTTCAATTACCACAGCCTGTAAAACAAGGCTTTTAGCTTTGTTGATGGAAAACTGCCTCTGTTTTAGACATAGATAGTTTCTCGGGGAGATAAACTAAAATTAGCTAAGACATTAAGTTGGAATATAATTCTGAAGGATAGGATCCATGAAATTGATGCCAAAGCAAGCTGGAGCCTTAAAGATCATTTCCATTACATTTTAAAATTGTTAAGTTACTGCCAAATATGCAACTACATTAATTATTAACCTTAACTGAAGATACACTGTTTCAAAGTATTCCCTATTTTTGTACATTAGAAACACCATGACTAACTTCAAGCTATGCTAATTCTATTACAGTAGGTAAAAATAAAAAAAGCCCTAAGTGCATAGCATAAACAGAGCAAGTAATTGAACGTGCTTCAAGCAGTTGTGCATGGCGATACATGGAAAAGAACCGTCTGGCAAGTCTCTCAAAGTGCTCTTAAAAGCCTTGCCTCCTAGCCTCTCGCTATGCCAAATGTGCTTCCAAGGAGCAGAAATGGGAAGTTTACACAATTGCTTTGTGGTTTTTATATGGCATTTGAATGGGAGACAGTATTCCTAATGTTCTGTGTGCAAATTATGTTATGTATAGTGTTATTTAAATAAGCTTCAGTTAGCCTCAGAAGTAGCTCATTTTGTAGCAAGTACAGATGTTCTAGTATTCATTACCTGCTTCCCCACAATTATGAAAGCTTTAGCTTGAGGTTGGCAAAGCCTTTTGCCTGTCTAAATAAAATGTATCTCAGGAGTTCTTAAGCTACATCCAGCTACCCTCACATGACCGTTAGCACCCTAGTAACTGATCTCAGAAAAGATCATTGTGTTGCAAGGAGAGTAAATTATACTACACAATTTTCCTGAATTTTCCCCTTCCAACATAGACTATTGTCCTACCAGCCTTTAGGAGCGTGAAATAACACAGGAGCCAGTCTGACCTGGCCCCACGGTGGTGTAAGTAGGCTAATAGTTTGACGCAAGCCAGAACTCTGCTGTGCCCTGCTTGGTTTTACAGGTGCAGCTTTCACCTCTGGTTCACTGGAAGTGTTTTGAATGTGCAAGTAAAGCTAACAACCTCTCTTTTGTTCTCCCACTGCTCGCTTCCATGTAAAGAAGTTTTATTTCTTGTGCAGGGAGCTCCTGGAGGAGAGTGGACTGACTGTGGACACCTTGCAGAAGATGGGTCAGATCACATTTGAATTTGTGGGCAACTCGGAACTCATGGATGTTCACATTTTCCGGGCAGATCATTTTCACGGGGAGCCAACAGAAAGTGATGGTAGGTAGCTAGCGGAGGGGAAAGAACAATGCATATTCTCTTCTGACACAGTACTGCTCTTAAGAAATGCAGAACTATTCATGCCTAAATCCCTTTGAGAAGGGAGGCAGCTGGGCTGTAGAGGGGAGCTGCTTGTTGACTCAATGTCTAGGCAGCAAAAAACCCAAAAATCTCATGCAAAAGTTCTTTTGTTTTCTCCCACCAGAAATGCGTCCACAGTGGTTTCAGCTGGATGAGGTGCCGTTCAGTCACATGTGGGCAGATGATATCTATTGGTTTCCCCTGCTGCTTCAGAAAAAGTTGTTTCGTGGCTATTTTAAGTTCCAAGGACAAGACACTATCCTGGAGCACACCCTGCAAGAAGTGGAGGAAGTTTAAGAAAACAGAAGCGTTCAGCCCACGTGCTGCTGCCCACATTGGGCTAGAACACCATCAGCACTACTTTTAAGGGTTTCCTTTCTCAACTTTCCTGCAAAGGAGACTTTATTTGCCAAGTCACTGGGTAGTAAGGAAAATAAGGGGGTTTCTTAGAGCAGAAATAAAAGTAATGAGATTTTCCATGCTGTGAAGTCCCTAGCTGTGGTACACTTTAGTGGTTATGTGATCACAACTATTAAAAACTTAGCGTTAACCCTTTTCTTCAGAGGTGGGTAATTCTCTAGGCTTTTCCCTTGTGGCTGGCAATGTTTTTAAAAGATTAAAAATATTTTTTAGTAAAAGCATGTGTTGTTCTGTTGTAAACAGATGGCTAGCTTCTAGGCTGTTTAAAGGCCTTTCAGGAGTTGGCTTCCTTTCACAGAAACGTGAAGGACTGTGATACAGCAGAATCCATTAAGTACCTTCTCTCTGCCAGTTTCTATACAGTTCCCTATTCAGCATTACTTCCTGGGACAAGGTGAGGCTTGACCAGCACTGAGAAAGCCTTTTGAAAAGTTTAGGTAGAGATTCCTTCAGGATTCTCCAGCTGAAGGTAGCGTAAGCTTACAGGAGTTATGAAAACAAAGTCAGAGGTAGTATGACACTGTTCAAGCCTTGCTTTCACTCTGGCAGCTCCTGCCATGAACTTGAACTGTTTTGAGCATTTCAGGTAAAGATACACTACACAAAAATCAATGTTCAGCAAGTCCATGTTGCAAAGCGCCATCACCTGTGGCTGCAAGCTTTGCCACATGTCAGTTCAGCATTCAGGTTCAGCCCAACTCAGCGTGCTGGGCAGCAAAAGCTTAATCAAACTGTGCTAGAAATAACACATCGCATATGTAACTTCTTACACAAGTTTTGTTTTGTTTTTTAAACACTTTTACAAACACATATAACACTTACAGATAGAATCTTGGAATGTAATATAGGATCTGTAAACATTTCCAGTCTACCAGCTGTAATAATAGTTCTTTAATTCCTGCATTTGGATAAAGTGCTTCATACATAAGGCTATTTGAGCAAAGCAAAGATACAGGATATTCCAGGCAGGCAAAATTCACACCCTCTGAACAAGATTGTTTCTTGTCTCCCTCCAGCAGTTCTGAATAATTTATACCACTCAAAACTGCCCTTCTTCATATGCTCAGTAAGCCACAGCTCAGACTCAGAGGATAAGAGTTAACACCTTAGACTCATCCTTTTCTTTCTGTGCTGCACACCAAGTTACTTGATACTTACCTCTGCTTCTGACACAGCAGTAAGGATTTCTGGCTGTTCTCATGGAGAGAACGGCTCAAGGAAAGTAGAGGAGAGAAAATAAGCACAAGGGGATAGGTAGCTTGTAACAGGGCATGAGACTCTACTGCGTGGTAGGAAAGGGAGCGACTGGCAGCCAATACCTGTTATGTTATCCTGATTTATTTCCTTGTGGAAACACTAAATTGCATGGTGGGAGAGAGAGACTGCGCAAATTACTTTCTGTTCCTCGAGGAGTTTAGGTAGGAAAAGAACAAGTGCAGGTCGGGCTTGTACTTCTATTTGCTATCCTCTCTTCTGCAGCCAGTTCAATCCTTTTATGAAGATCCTTTCACCGGCGCTGACTTTTAGCTCATGTCAAAGTAGTGACATTATTGCTCCTGCTGCAGTTGTGCAGACCAACATGTTTTTAAAAAGTTCTGTCCCCAGCTGGTGATCTTTGTCTTTTAGGAAACAGCACAAACTGAAGATTGTAAATCAGCCTGTTACACATTCCAGGAATTACACCCTTGATCAAAGTCGAAGAGTAAAAGCACTAGAATGCAGCAAGGCACTGTTGAAAATGTTACAATTTAGGAGGAGCAACTGGCAAGGAAGATGGAAGGAGAGGGAAAGGATCAAAGATTAGGGTTGTATTGTAAATATAGCTTGGAAAGCCTTTCAACACAATACTGGTCAAAAAGCCTGTATATTGCCACTTCACAGCTTGAAGCAGAGGAGACCTCAGGAGTGACAAAAACATATAGCCCTTTTGAGAAAACAATTTTCAGGCAAAGTCTCAGGTTCTCAGCTGTTTACTACCCTGGTATCTCCACGACAGATTTGAGAGACAGTGACGGAAAGATTGGAGGCCTTTTCTACCATTACTATTTTGAACACGTGAAAGTCCCCGTGACCTCAAGCAATACACAGAAAGCTTCCATTCAAGAAGGCACGTTAACTCTTTGGCGCTACATCTTACAGGAGCATTGGCTCTTGGATAGGCAGCACACACTCTTCTGTTAGTCTTCTGATTTGATTAGTGTTTATTGCAGTCTACCCAGCTATCAGCAATGGAACCAACTTCATTAAGTCTTCTTCTCACCCTTGCATATAGCTAGGCTGTTTGCTGCAGAAGGCAATAGCATGGAGGTGAGAACCATTTTCACTACATTGACTCAGGGAGACAGACAACCGAAGTCAGCTTGATTGATTCCCTGGTGCATTCCTCTAGAGGAAGGAAGCTGTACTGGATGCTGCTTCCAAGTCTGACAGATCCCTAAACTAAACAGAACAAATACAGTAAGGAAATCCCTCACATACTGAGGTAAACGTAATAGTGCTATTTGCACACTGACCAGTCTCCCAAAAATAAGGTTTGCAAACTAAGGATCATATGAAATAGTGCATGGATGTATTTAGGAATGAGACAGAAGCTTGACAGTCCAGTATGAAATAAACTCTGAAAGTGCCATTAGCTCTATCAGCTTTGGGAATACTAGGCCTATGTTCTCAAAAATATTAGGTGAAGAGAGTAAAATCAAAACAAGAGAACCCCACCCCCAAAACTGCTCTCCTCAAAGAGGCAAGGGCTGACAATGGAGGAACGGGTGTTTTCTCAAAACAACATCATTCCAGTTTCTTCATAGGTCATGTGGTCTGTGCTTACCATTATTTCAGTCTCTGCATTTGGATTGTAGAATTCTTGCTTTGAAGGAGTACAGGAAAGAGGAGTTAGTCTAAAGCCCAAATGTGGTTTTGATGTTTGTTTTTTGTTTTTAAAGTCCAAAATTGTACCTTTTTTCTAAAGGCAAGAAGCGCAAAGTTCCATTCAAGCTAATACTTTGCAAGTGCTCCTACAGAACATAGCCCAGTCATCTACCCTGGCCAGAAAAGTTACGCGGAAGATCCATCACATAGATACCAGATCTTGCCCCAAAATATACAGTATTTTCTAAATTTGACTGTTCACCACATCAGGCAAACAAGGCTAAATGAGAGAGGATGGGTATTAAGACTAAGCAAATGACCGGCCATAACCAGCCAGCACCTTCTAAAGATGCTAAGAGTGAAGAGCATCTAAAAATACAGTAACACGCCTTCTGCACTTTAACCACAAACTATCTTCCTCATCAAGACAAGGTTAAGCAGAAAAACCTTTTGTGCCATTCTTGAGATAATATCTTCTTTGTTACTGTACTGTGGAAACATTTCCCTCTCCAGCCAATTTGCTGTGGCTTGTGAGCAGAATCTTTTCTTCAGGAGAGAGAATCAAATCTGTCACAGCCGTTTGCAGTTAACCTGTCTCACTGGACAAAGCCAATATGCGGGAGGAAACACTCAGAAGAGGGTTAACATTTTAATTCCTATAAAAAGCTCTTAATAACACATTCTGAGCAAGGTTGTTAAACAAGACACCTTGCACACTCCTTAAGGCCCAGCACCCAAGAAATTCACCCATATAAATGCACTTCACCACATTTTGAGGGGTGCGTGTAATGGTTATGCCTGCCTCATGAAACTGGGCAAGTAACTTAATATCTTGCTTCCAGCTGAAGAAACTAACCCATAATTTCCACCCGCACTAGGAAGAGCTTAATGTTGCACTGAATTTTCTAAATAAAAAAAAAGGAAAAAAAAGGAAAATCACCTTTGTGATTGGAGGATTTAAATATATTTCCTGCTAACAGGGAAGTTCCCCAATGGGAAAATACTGTAACGGTTCCAGTCTGACAGTGAGCACCCATCCTTGTTAATGTGTTTCCTTTTTACCCCCTCAAAGAAAACACTAAAAAGCCAAGTCTCAAATTCCCCTTTGGCAGCTATTTTGGCCTCAGAGAAGTTAGGTTCAGGGGAGCCCTGTTCGCGTAGAGTTTCGCTGCATACGTTTGCAGTTTCTTCAATTATCAGTTTCTCTGGAGGATATGCACAATTTCCCCTAAGGTAACATGACATGCAAGTTCTCCTCCTACCCTTTGCCTCGTCAGCGAAAGTCACCAGAGATACAAAGTGAAACATGGACAACGTTCAGTCCCTTTATCACAATCACAAATCATTCTGAAAACCCCATTACCAAGGACCGTGCTATTTTGAGAGAGAGAGAACTGTCACTTAATTGTCTTCTCCTCTTCACAAACACGCTCCAATGCTACCCACAGCCAGAAAAAAGAATGACAGTAACATCCTGATAAATACCGATTTTTTTGCTAATGAACTGTATCAGCATTATGTCCCGGGATACTTCATCTGATACTAGACCAAACAAAATACCAGCCTTTGGGTCAGCAGCTCCCCAATAGTACTGAACAGCTACTCAACAGATGGATGTCAGAACCTCCAGAAGAAAATAAACAAGCTACCTTGTAGCTGTTCTGCTCGTATAGTATGAGTGGTTCACAACTCAGTGTTTTATTCAATTATCCTCTCATTTAGCCAGGCAAACTCCTCTGAGTTCCTGAATCCAGTTGTCTTTGGCCCCAAACTGAAAAATATGGGTAAGTCCCTAGGCTGCCCTGCAACCATTAGCTGAAACGCCCAGACAATCCAGTCTGCCTGGCCTCACTGGGAAAAATCACCGTCACACAGCAGCACTGACCTCTACCCAGCTGGGTTAGCGAATCCAACCACTTCATTCATGTATTTTGTGCTAAGGTCTAGCAGTAAGAAATCAAATCCAGACACCTATCAATGGGATGGGGGATGGCTTTCAGCTTCCCTGATGC